TTGCTTGTGATATTAATGATATTGTTTGATATTTTCCACATCCTGTTGGATCACCTTTCTTTGGAATGTTCACAAATATGGATCTCTTCCAGTGAGTTGGCCAGGTGTCTGTCTTCCAAGTTTCTTGGCATAGGTGAGTGAGTACTTCTAGTGTTGCATCCATTTGTTGAAACATCTCAGTTGGTATTCTATCAGTTTCTGGATTCTTGTTTTCTGCCAATGCCTTCAGTGCAGCCAAGACTTCTTCCTTCAGTACCATTTGTTCTTGATCATATGCTACCTCTGGAATTGTTTGAATGTTGACCAGTACTTTTGGTATGGTGACTCTGTGTATTCCTTCCCTCTTCTTTTGACACTTCCTGCATCATTAAATATTTTGTCCATAGAATCCTTCAATATGGCAACTAGAGGTTTGACTTTTTTCTTCAGTTCCATCAGCTTTAAAAATGCCAATTGTATTCTTCTGTTTTGGTTTTTCTAATTCCAGATCATAGTATCTTTCATTACAATACTTTAGTATTCTTAAGCCTTCCTTTGAAATCTTCTGTTCAACTCCTTTACTTCATCATTTATTCCATTCACTTTAGCTACTCTACATTGAAGAGCAAGTTTCTTCTGCAGTCTGAAATTGATCAAACATGCAATCAAGACACACTTATAATTAAGAGTGATTAGCCATGGTAATAAAAACCACTCTAGGGATTGCATGATAGACTTTAGCAAGACCAGTGACTTATTCATTGGAAATACTTTTTTTTTTAAGAACATGAATGACGACTATATACATGAACCTCACCAGATGGAATAAACAGGAATCAAATCGACTACATCTGTGGAAAGGTACAGTGGAGAAGCTCAGTATCATCAGTCAGAACAAGGCCAGTTGCTGATTGCAGAACAGACCATCAATTGCTCATATGCAAGTTCAAGTTGAAGGTGAAGAAAATTAGAACAAGTCCACAAGAGCCAAAGTATGACCTTGAGGATGTCCCACCTGAATTTAGAGACCATCTCAAGAATAGATTAGACCCATTGAACCTTAATGACCAAAGACCAGATGACTTGTGAGATGACATCAAGGACATCATACATGAAGAAAACAAAAAGTCATTAAAAGGACAGGAAAGAAAGAAAAGACCAAATTGTCAGAAGAGACTCTGAAACTTGTCCCTTGTCTAGTACACATGTATCACTGGATTTAGGGTCAGACAGAAGATAATTGACAACATGTACTTAAATATAAGACTTAGAGATGTTATGAAGAAACTTATATAATATTTGTTAAGTACTCATTACAGTGACAGGCACACGATAAACATTTAATAAGTAGTAGGTATAAATATAACATTCAATTTTAGTATTCAAATACACGAATTATGTTACTAATAAAGCAATCTCAAAAGGTTACTTAGATTTTTTTCTGAGGTATTATAAACCAAATATTTTGATTATTGCTTTGTGTGTATCAATGTTATTCTTATCCTTGAGAAAAAATACATATCAGATACTAAACAATAATTTTTTTAAAACCACTAAAGTTACCCAAGTTGAATCATTTTGTATTTTTAAACCTATACTAAAGAAGAAAGAGTATTATATATTTAAGGAGTACTGGACTAATAGGCAACATCACGATAAATGGATAAAATATTGAAGTTGTCAAGTATTTCATTTTGCTCGTAACCACAATCAACTCTCATGGAAGCAGCAGTCGGGAAATCAAAGGACATGTTGCATTGGGCAAAACTGCTACAAAAAGACCCCTTTAAAGTGTTAAAAAGCAAGGACGTAACTTTAAGGATTAAGGTGCACCTGACCCAAGCCAGGACCAGGCAGGATTTCCTTCTGTTGTGTATATGGTCACTATGAGTTGAAACCGATTCGATGACACCTAACAACAACCACCACTGTCGTTTTTTATGTAAAACTGAAGTAAAAAATATAAATAAATAAACATAAAAGTGCACACATAATCAATGTTCAGCTCAATATATTTTCACAACATGAATCCACTCATGTTACCAGTACCCAGAACAAGAAAGAGAAAAATTCTAGCACCCCAAAGTCCCCCTAATATTCCTTCTGAGTCACTCCCTTACAAAAGTAACCACCATGCTGATTTTTATCATGATTGATTAATTCTGGCTATATCTGAACAACTTTTTAAATGGGATATGAATCACTTACTGATGAAGATCAAAGACCACAGCCTTCTGTATGGATTATACCTCAACTTAAAGAAAACAAATATCCTCACAACTAGACCAGTAAGTAACATCATGATAAACGGAGAAAATATTGAAGCTGTAAAGGATTTCCTTTTATTGGATTCACAATCAATGTCCATGGAAGCAGCAGTCAAGAAGTCAAAAGACACATTGCATTGAGCTAATCTGTTGCAAAAGACCTCTTTAAAGTGTTAAACAGCACTCTAAGGACTAAGATGAGTCTGATCCAAGCCATGGTGTTTTCAGTCACCTCATACGTATGTGAAAGCTGAACAATGAATAAGGAAGACTGAAGAAGAACTGATGCATTTGAATTATGGTGTTGGTGAAGAATATTGGATATACCATGGACTGCCAGAAGAATGAACAAATATGTCTTAGAAGAAGTACAGCCAGAATGCTCATTAGAATCAAGAATGTTAAGACTTCTCTCACATACTTTGGACATGTTCCCTAGAGAAGGACATCATGCTTGGTAAAGTAGAGGGTTAGAGAAAAAGAGGAAGACCCTCAACAAGATATATCAACAAAGTGACTGTAACAATGGGCTCAACCATAACAACAATTGTGAGGATGGCGCAGGACAGGGCAGTGTTTCATTCTGTTGTACACAGGGTTACTATGAGTCAGAACTGACTTGATGGCACCTAACAACAACCTGTAAACAGGATCATACTCATTATCTTTGTGTCTAGCTTCTTCCATTTGACATTTATGTTTTTGAGATTCAGCGATCTTGTTGAGTAGTGTAATTTGTTCATTCTCATGATTGTGTGGTATTTAATTACATAAACATACCACAATTTCTTTATCTATTGTACTGTTGATGAATATTTGGTTGTTTCCAGATTCTGGTTCTACGTGCTGCAGTGAACACTCTTGTACATGTTTCTACTGAGAGCGTGGCTGCAAATCTGTTTAGAACAAAATGCTCTCTTCTAAATTTGGCTTTTTTTGTCTCAATATTATGCTTATGAGATTCATCCACATTGCATATTGCTATAAACACTATATTATTTATAGAGGTGGTTCATTCATTCTCTTTATCCTATAATGCAAGAGTGCTTTGCTTTGATAAGTGTGTTTTCTTGCAGGTTTCCCTGTGGCTGCTCATTTCTCTGATTTAGTTTGAATTTGCCTAGAATGATGTTTGCCCCAGAGAAGGACTGTTAATGGCCTACTCATTCTCTGCCTCTTTACTGCCATACTGAAAGAGCCCCCAGTCAGACAGTTTAACAGCAGCAATCAATGCATTTGGCTCAGTACAAGGAACTACCATTGTTTTCATCATGTGAAAATCACAGAAAATACTCCCTCAATATAAAGAGTTAAAACTCTTCTAGCATTTTTAATTAAGTAGCCATTGACTTTATAGTTATTTTATTTCTCTTTCACATTGAAATCCTTTATAATTAAGCTAAATCAATGCCTAATTTACTACAACCTTTGCATTTGGTTAGTCTTTTATCTCAAAGCATTCATTATCTTCTCATGTGCTTCCAGAAACTTAGAAAGATAGGGAGAAAAAAATTCTTTCTCTGACTTGTTCAAAATGAAAGTTTATGTACAACTGGGGAAAAGTTGTCAACTGCATTTGTTCTATCATGTGGCTCTGGGTTTCTCACCAATGAATTGCATGCTGAATTGTTATTCATAAATTGTTAGCATTATCTCTATTTTAAAAAATCAGCCATGTCACTTACACTTTATCTTATCTTGATATTTAGTTATTGATAATACGTAAAACTAGCTCTTAATCTTCACTTAAAGGAAATTCAATTTCTTAAGACAAATAACTTCTCAAGAACTGCATCTCTTTTTGAATTTTTGTGTTTCTATTATTATTAATATCTGATTTCATTATTCCTTAGAGATTTTTGCCAATACTGTTGAAAAAATAAAAATGCTTCACTGAATAGTATTTGTAGCATGGGATCTTCAAAAACACACACAGACGCGAGTTGTCATCCTCAAAGATATTTCATATTAGGTTGAAAACATGAACTTTACATCAGTGACCTTATGTTATTATCTATTTCATCTTTATTCAAATTATCTTTTTAGAAAGCAAATAACTATGAAAGTGGATTGGAACATTTTTATTCTGAAAGGAAAAATAACAGGAAGGACATTTGGGAATAATGAATTTGTACTCATCTATTCTTGAGGGTATTATATATACAAAATATTTATTTGCAAAGAAGAGTCATTTACAGAAGTGAGTTTTTTTGTTTGTTTGTCTTTTTAATGCAATAACGTGTTTTCAAACAGTACCTTGCTCTTAGTTAAGGGTTGAAAGTGGAAACTGAGCATGGCTCTATCCTTCTTAGGCAGAGTTATAAAAACAAATAAGGCATTATTTATTATATTGGGCATAGTCAACATTAACCAAAAACATATCCTTATAATTACAACACAAGAATATATTAATTCACTAGCGTAACTTTTTCAAGAGTTCAAAATTCAATCTTACTACCAACAGCTTTCCATAGCTTATGTTCTTGAAGTTAGTGCATTTATTCTAGTATTTTTTTTAATAAAAGACCCGATAAATTTACTTTCTTTCAACTTAAATGAAACCTGAAAGCAATGACCCCCCTGGACAATAGACAATTTCCAAGTTGCTATAATTCAATGTTACAGTCAAATAATAATAATATGAAAGAGTATTTTACCTTCTCTGACTTATGTGCAATGAGTATATTTAATCATTATTTCAACAATGCAATTCTACCAACAGAGAAGAAAACATGGAAAAAAATTTAAGATTACCTTTTGTATGTTATTTGCCCACTGTTCAGAGGTCTGTTGAAACTTAGTGGTTTTGTACAGTGTTATATAAATTACCACTTCCTGTTTCGCTCTTAGTTATGAATTTCCTGTCTCCTGTATATGCTGTCCTACATAAACACTTTCTCTATCTGACTGTCAAACTACTATTTTTAAATTTCATATTGTTGGATACAATAAATAAATCACATGAAACGTAAATTCTATTAAATTTATTTTGCATAAAGTAGTTTTATACCTTGTATCGTAAATAAATGCAGAAGAAGTAAAGGAGTTTTAAAATGATTTCTCCAGAGCTAGCCTACTTCAAATGTAAAATAACTTGTTTTTCTTATTGATAAGTCAAAAGAAAATAAAACCACAGACTGCTAGTTTTTTAAAATAGGTTTGCATATCTAAGAATTGCTGCTGCACCTCTCTTTCTACAATGATGCAAAAACATTTGCTTTCTAAAATTTAATCAGATATGAATACATTTTGAGAACAAATGAATAAAAGTAGATGAAACCCAAGTGGCTTTCACAGGATTAATATAAGAGCTAGCCTTAGCCTTTAAATGAGAACAAAACAAAAATAGAGTGCTTGTGGAATCATTCTAAAGGTTTAATTGTTAGAACTCTAAATGATTTTCTTGTTTCCATACATCCTTTATAAACATGTTTTTTTATAAGCACAGTGAATCACAGATTTTGAAAAGTATCCTTTGCTTTTTATTGTTTTGTTCTAAGTTAGATTCTGATCTACCTTCTAATCCACAGAGCACCCATATGAGCCAGAGTGGCATCACAATGTGAAAAAGTCCAAGTTGCCTTTTAAGTGTATAGACTCTGTGACAGCTGAGCATGTTCAGTTCTGAGATTCATTCTCTATATTCTGTTGAAGCTCTAAAAGGAAAGAAAAGAAAAGAAACTAAGTTGAAATAGCACTTAATGGGAAATAATGAAAAGCTCTCATACAAACAGAATGTGAGGGTAAGAGGTAGAATAAAGGAGACTAGAATTTCTTCTCAGATTTGTTACCATAGTGTTTTCTAATTTTCTGCTTCTTGGCTTCCAGGTGATTGAAGACATTTGGTCAGTTTCTGGGCAATAGCTTTGTTCTCTTCTCCTGTGACACTTTGCTAGACAACATTTTGAAGGCTTTCTGCTGTTACCTGGAGACATGTGACTGAGTTGTGGCCAGTGCTCTCTCAGAAAAAGTGATGGACGCTCACTTTAGACTTGTTTTGGATGCAAAAAATTCCTCACATAATCTCCCAAATTCTCTTTTTCCTTAACTAACTGGGGAGATGTAGGGGATCTAGTAGATAATTCCAGGGTTCTGGAAAAGGCACATAAGGGAGGAGCATTGATCCCTGAATGGCTATAAAGTAACTTACCCCCGAAGACCAACTGCCATTAGACTCCTTTTTCAGCGAGAAAAATCTCTGATTGTATTACATCACTGAGATGTTGAACTTGTTTTTATAATTAATCATACTTAACATGACTAATACAAACATATTTTCTTTGTTAGTTGTCAATACATGCTACTTGAAATATATTGGGCACCACAACAGGACAAAGTTTCCCATGTGTAAAAATTGTTACTTAAATATTTTGCCTATTCTGTGTACCAGATCTTTGACTGTGATGTTCAGTTTTGGCCCATATACTTCATATATCTGTCTTTAGGCACATTGCCAAATATTCTTCATCTTGGGAGTTTGTAATAATAACAGATATAAAAGAAATACTTGTTTGGATGACATCATTTATATTATCATATAAAATTACATGTATAGTGTTATGGATTAAATTATGTCCCCTAAACAGATGTATTGAACTCGTAACTCTTAGTTCTGTGAACGTGATCCTGTTGGGGAAGGGGAGAGAATCTTCTTTTGTTATGCCAATGAGGTTATACTGGAGTAGAGTGGATCCTAAATCTAATACCTTCTGAGTGAAGCGACCATATGATGAACTGTTTATAAGCCAAGGAATGTCAAGGATTGTCCAGTCTACAGACAAAGGTAGGGCATTTCTTTAGAGTTGATGCCCTAATTTGGACTTCTAACCTTCAAAACTGTAAGGCAATAAATTTCTATTTTTTAAAGCCACTCAGTTGTAATATTTTTGTTGTTGTTGTTACAACAGCCCTAGGAAACCAAGAAATGTGGGTATATAGGCACATATATACTTATGTTTACTATATACTTTGATATATAATTTTACATGTTTTAACATATACTTAAATTTATTATACAATATTAAAATAAATTCCTATAATATGCTAATAATAATATTAGAATAATTGCATTATAGATATACATATAAATAAATGTTATATACTTTTCTATACTATTAGCAGCAGAATAAAAATATCACAGTAGAAAATTGGATAAAAATTTTCAGTCTACCATTCAGGAGAGATTTAGACATATCCCTTTGCCATGTTGCTAAAAGAAAGATTTCTATTCTTCTCTTGATTGAATTTTCCATCTTACATTGTTCAGTTCTAAGGAGGTTCCTTTTCTGTGATATTTGTGTTTTAGTCCAAGTTGTGCTGGGATGCTGTCTTCTTATAGAAGATGTTCATAATTTTTGGATAAGTTTTTGAGTTTTTGTTAAAGTACAGAATTTATTATAAGCACATGTATTGTTTGTATTTAGTATTATCTAATATTTTTATTAATAATAAAATATATAATAATGACATAAAAATATAATGACAATTAAATAATAATATTATCTAAAAAGAGGAAAAATAGAATTTATGTAATCTCAGACAATAACTGTGAATGGTCTGAGATTTTACCCTGCTTGCAAACTAAGTCTGTCACTGTTTCATAGATGCTGGAAGAAAATAATAGCCTACTTGGTCAGAAAAAAGAAGTTTATTACTCACAGCAATAGCACTAGCCAGTGTATCAACATTTCCTTGTTCTCTAAGTGCTAGTTCTCATGAGGTAACACTAAGGATGGCACCTGCATTCACAGGAGAGTAACCCTGATCTTAAGGAAAGTGAATCTTTTATAATTGGCAGTAAGGATGTCTGCCCTTTGCTCCAGAGGGAGATGCTTTGTGTATCTTCCAAGACTGCTCACATGCAAACAGCTTAAAAGATATTTCAGAACAAAGGTCATCAGTTCCTTCTGCTTGTGAGATGTGCAGAGAGACCAATGGGGACTTGTCTCTCCACATCACCAAGCAGCCTCTATATCCATTGATTCCTCTATTTCTGTATCCATTATCTATATATTATATTCAGCTCCTTTTACTTTGGCCTTGTTACTGCAATAGAAGAGAGTTTTCCTTTGACTCTATTTGACTGAAAAGAGTAATATATAGATTATAATCTGAGTTGAAACCTGTTTCTCCCACTGAGCTGAGTCGAACTACTTTGACACTTGTTTGATGTCATCCTTTAATAGTTTCTTCTCTGTATTCTGCTTGCAGCTGCTCAAGGGGTTAATATTTAGCTATCAACAGCCTGTGCCCTCTGATATGGGTAATGTGAGGCATAAAGCACAACATTCTTTTTTTTTTTTTTATTGTACTTTAGGTTAAGGTTTACAGAACAAATAGTTTCTCATTACACAGTCAGTACGCATATTGTTTTATGACATTGGTTAACAAACCCACAACATGTCAATACTCTCCCTTCTCGACCTTGGAGGACCTTTTTTCTTTTTTGGTGAAAATATACATAGTCAAAGATACACCATTTCAAAATTTCTACATGTACAGTTCAGTGACATCGATTACATTCTTCCAGTTGTGCTGGTATTCTCACTATCCTTTTCCAAATTATTCCATCACCATTATCTTCAACTCACTGCCCCCTAAGCTTCCCATCAAACCTTTTGAGTTGCTGTTGTCAATTTGATATCACATAGATAATTCTTTTTTTTTGTTTTTTGTACTTTAGGTGAACGTTTATAAAACAGAATAGTTTCTCATTAAACAGTTAGTACCCATATTGCCCTGTGACAATGGTTAACAACCCCACGACATGTCAGCACTGTTCTTTCTCAACCTTGGGTTTCCTATCACCAGCTTTCCTGTCCTCTTCTGCCTTCTAGTCCTTGTCCCTGGACTGCTGTGCCTCATTAGTCACATTTTGTTTTATAGGGCTGTCCAATTCCCAGCTGAACTGTGAACCTCGGGAGTGACTTCACCAATGAGCTAAAAGGGTGTCTGGGGGCCAGACTTTCAGGATTTCTCCAGTCTCTGTCAGGCAGTAAATCTGGTCTTTTTGTGTGTGTTAGAATTTTGTTCTACATACTTCTCCAGCTCTGTCCAGGATCTTGTATTGTGATCCCGGTCAGAGCAGTCAGTGGTGGTAGCTGGGCACCATCTAGCTGTACTGGACTCATTCTGGTGGAGGCCTTGGTAGCCGTGGTCCATTAGTCCTTTAGACTAATCTTTTCCTTGTATCCTGTTCTCTTCATTCTCCCTTGCTCCCGAAGGGGTGAGACCAGTGGAGTATATTAGATGGCTGCTCACAGGCTTTTAAGACCCAAAAGCACAAGATTCTTGATCCTTTCCCTTAAGGAATGTGTATTACAATGGCTACAATAAGACATATCCACGTAAAAATAACAGCAAGTAAATGACTCATTGTGACAGTCAAATTCAAAGGTAATTATGAGTGCTATTCAAATTCCTTTGTTTCAGGAAAAAAACACTTTATAAAGATAGATGCTGATGAACCATCCCTCTTAAGGAAGCTATTTGAATATTTTTATTTAGTTGTACATAAAGGCACAGTCTTCAAATGTCAACATAATAAGTTAATTCTGCCCATTTGGTCTCAAAATGTGCTCACTTTAGAACACTGTCCAATAGAAAAATAATGCAAATATCAAAGGTGAGCAATGTTGGTAATTTTCATAGCCAGATTAAAAAAAAAATCAAGTAAATTAGCTTTAATGATACATTTTATTTAAGCTCAGATAGTCAAAATATTATCATGTCTATTTATAGGTTGTTGTTGTTGTTGGTCGCTGTTGAGT